ACCCCATCCTGACCCCGAGATCACAACAGGATGTGTTTGACATCTTTAATTTTGACGATTCAGATTTCACACCCTCTATGATTGGGATAAATTAGACTACAGCCATTGAGTGCACTAACTTGTTAGGTACTTTGTTTATGTGTTCATTCATTAGGAGAAAGGTAAGGAGCCATATCTAAAAGGAATTGCTGAAGAAGAGAAATGAAGGTCATTTCTGAATGGAATTGCTGAGAAAAGAAAAAAAAAAGACAACACAATGGCTACTAATGTCCTAATTGTGAACTGTTTCATTCAGCCACTAATCTTGATGCTTTTCTATATGTATTATAGTGTAAACAAACACTGCTTACGCTCCTCTAGATAACATTTTGTTGGAGATAGTAGACTACATATCAAAGAAATATTTATTTATATTAAAACAAATGCTGTAATTAAATTTGGGCCTTTGCCAAGGTCTACCCTGCATGCTTTGAATGTGTCTCTAACATCTGCTTAGTTTCACTAATGGGGCTCAGTGTGTATTGAGATGTTTCCTTTCTAGAGCCAACATGAGGAAACTAGCATTGCAGAATGAGTTCTTTTTGTTTTCTAATGTGTGCTGCTTGTTCAGCCCACCCCATGTATCCTCCCATTTGATCATCTTGTCTGTGATTTCCTCAATCGGACCAAGTGCCTAAGTTTCTGTGGTATTAAATAAACAAAAATAAATGAAAGGATCAAATTTTGCTCCTGTGTATTAATATCAATTGATTTCTATGTTTTTTTGGTGTTGTTAGTTCTGCTGATCTTTAATGTTATTACTCATAACTTGAACAGAACGCCTGACTTATAATGAAATACTGTTGTTTGATAAAGCTCATGGGAGCCACAGTTATGTTTGTTTTCTTGTTGCTACTATTTAATTTTTTTAAAGACTTTTGTGTGTGATTACCTTCTCAAAAAAAATTACACTTGCTTAAAGCAGTTTTTTTTTGTGTGGAAGGTTGTGTGTAGTACAAATATGTGTGTGTGTGTGTGTGCATGTTTCCTACTTTGCTGTGATGTTTGTTATTGGTAAAAGAGTCTATAAAGTTTTCAGATGTATTCAATTAAAATTGTTGTGTTTTTTTTATATAATGAAGTGATAATTAGAACATCTATGAGATTGATTTGGTACCTCATATCATACATGTGTTTGATTCAGTTCACCAGGTAGACAAAGACATAGTTTTATATAAATTAAGATTATTTGTTTTGACTTGTATGTACATTGTCATTCAATCTATTGTGTGCATAGAGATTACATCATGAGTATATAGGCTTAAAAACATTTTTTTTTTCAAATGTGTTATATCCATTCAAACTACTTATTAAGTTATTCATCTTCACATATTAACATAGCAACAGAAAAAAATTATTTATATTTTGTTGACATTTATGGCTTGTTTTCATACTTTAAACAAAATAATCTATGATAATTATTATGGGAAGATAAAAAAAACACAATGTAATTGTTAACTTTGCGATTAGACTGTTGTTTGACCAATATTGACCAAAGAGTGAAAGGTGTACCTTGCTCTGTTATTCTTAAATCTATATTGTTGTTGACAGTATTATACTGAAGATGTTTGCATTCTACTCAAGTTAGCATAATCTTTACCCATAGAGATGGCTGTGACTACTTGATAGTTAGGCAAGAAGGGCCCTAGATCACTAGATTGATATTTGTTGCAAAGAGTAACTATTATATATATTTTTTTTATTGACTACATTTTTGTAAACACCAAAAAAATAGATTTAATGTTAATTCTGCAGATTAGTTAAGAGAGGATACCTATATATATTTAATATTTTTTTCCAACTGATCTATAGAAAGGTGCAAATGTAATGAAACAGTTGTCTTCTACTGGTTAGGTGTGTTGTGTGAAAACGTTGTAACATTGAGAATTGTTCCATTTGTTTTTTCTGTTCATAAAGTAGTTGTTTATTTTTCTTAATTATCTATATTTTCCTAGTCTACTGAGCATTTCACTTTGCTTTGAGATTTGGATTTTTTATGTTGAGGCTTATAGAAAGTATGTGGTGAAGACTAGGCCTGAACATTCTACTATAGATCATGACAAGAAGGTCACTGCCCTATCAGTAACTATTTTATACTTTGTTCAAGCCAAACTGTTGGTGACCCCATTGTGGGAAAAAAGACAAAGTTGTTTCTGATTTGCATTTAGCCTATCCTTTACTTGTCAAAGTCTTAATTAACAAGGAAAGCCCTTGCTCTTGATCCATTGGAAACATACATGCCTCCTAACCGCAGGGGTTTTTAGCCAGGATTTTAACAAAAAGAATTGTGCCATTGAGTGGTCCCTTGATGATGATTTAGATAATATGAACAAAATATTGGAGATGAAAATGTCATCCATAAATAAAAGATTCTTCCAGTTGGTTTGGTGGCACTCACACAAGTCATCTTATCATCCTTGGTGTGAAATCTTAATATAACCGGTGTTTTTCTAGGTATATTCTTAGTTTTAATTCATAATAAATTCAGAGTGCATTTTGCCAATCAATTTATTTTTTACAATGTTAAATTTTTTTATAAAATCAGATTGTTTATATCTTTTGCTTTATTCTTCAATTGTATCCTACCTAAAACAATTAACAAAGACAAATGAGACTTTCAAGTCTTTTGATCTATGTGGATATTGCGTTATGATACCTAGTGTGCTAAAATATCTAAATGTTGTGCTAGAATATATGAGAATTGCGCTAGAATTTGTTTATATTTTTTACTACAAGAAGAATAATGAAAGACTGATAAAAAAGATGTGTCTGTTGTTTCTAATGTGTGTGTTGCTGGACTTGCTGTATAATAAGCTTGTGTTTGAACTGTATATAGAACTAGCCAACTATTTATCTACACTCTTAATCATTTGTTCCACTTTGCATGGGCTTGATGTGCCTTTATTTGGGTCCACTAATCCTTCTTTATTGGTATCATTATATTCAATTTGGTGGAGTTTTTTCTGTTCCAGTTCCTTATTAATATATTAGTCATTTGTCCTTAATTTTATATATCTAATCTTATTCATCAGTATAGCCTGTTTAACTTATTCTGCAGATTTCTTGTAATTTTTTTTCTATCTTAAACTATGCATTCCAGTTTTCTCTGCTAAGGGCCATCCTCTAAAGTTTAACCAATTTCCAAAACAATGAACTCTAATAAAAACACAATTGTTATTTGGACAAGCACTTGTCTTGTGATGATTTCAAAGATATATGTGACATCCACAAGCCCTGATCTGAAAACTGTTGCTTAACACCAGAGGCTTTGAGACTTTGTGAATGTGGAAACAACAGGGACCACCAAAAAACTATGACCAAATTTACAGGGCTGTTTGCTAAGTACTTAGTGAACTTTTGTTTTTGTTTTGTTTGCACCCCCCCCCCCCCCAACCATCACTCCCTCTTTCCACTCTAATCTTTACAGAACATTGACCATTGTGGCTTGTGACCAACAGAAAATAGATTTATGTACTGATTAAGTTTACAGTAACCCTATTGAAATTACCAGCATAGTAGAAGCCTTGTATTAATGTTAATTTCAATACTTCTGGTAAATGAACTTTTTGTTTTTAAACAGAAATAATGTAACATTTAGTTTAAGTAGAAATAATTATTTAGGACCTATTCAAGCCCATGTGATGTATGGTTAGAGAATGATTCTGTACCTCAATGGGTAATCAAATTAATAGTCGTTCCATGACAATGAAGTGCAATGGTTAAGAACATTCCCCTGCAGAATTGCCTTTAGATCTAGCAGCCCCCTAGAATTTTAAGATCCATTTTAGTTATTTTTTTCCTTGATCACCTGTAGGTGTAATTTAATGAACAGTAACAAACCAGCCTGTCTTTTCCTCCACAATATTTATTCTTGAATTTCTTTTGAGCATCCTAAACCTCAAAGGACACTTTTGTTTGCATCTCAGCATTGCGCAGTGGCAACATAATAGAAAATTTAATTTATTGTGTGCCGTCACAGAAAGATTGATAGTGAAATGAAAAACAAACAGGTCATGGGGATTTCTGGCTATGAAGACATAGTGCAGGTACACATTATCTTTTTGGAAGCAGTTCATTAATAGAAGAAAGCACCCATATATTGAACTAAGACCCAGTTGTCTTGTTTCAATGTTAATCTTTCTGTACCTGGTAACACTGATATACTTAATGCATTCCCACAATTCTATTTATTAGAACATTTAAGAAATTTTATTTTTATGCCTTCTCCCATAATTTGATCAGAGTACACATTGGACTTATTGTGTTGAGAAGGCTTAAGTTATTTTCATTTTTTTTTTGCTGCCATGAAATTTACTGAATGGAAAGTATCCAATTTTTTTTTTAATTTTTTTGTGTTAAATTTCAACTCAATGTATAGGCCGATTGAATTTCATTCCTAGCTCTTCCTCCATCACCTTACTCACTGTTCTATAAGACCTCAGTTTGGCTTGTTCATGTAATCTTCTAGTTCCTGTTGGACTCCCTTGTAGAGTTAACAGCTTGCTGTGTTAACACTCTGGTGTGTGTGCGTGTTCCTTTTTAGTTGGTTTTTTGTTTTTTGTCAAGTGTTGGAACACTAATCTCTTTCTAGTCTTAGATTGTGACATTAGTGAGATGTGTTGACCTAATTAGCATCATTGATGACATTCTTAACAGTATTTCATCCCACTGGACATTGCTTTGTCATTGAAAATCATTTTTATTCTGTCATTAATTTAATACCAACTGATGTTAGGAGTGTTCAGTCTCATCTCTATTCACATCAAGTTTATTACATTGACATACATCTGAGTTTGTATAGAACCAACTAGTTGCTGGGGTAGTTTTTATAAAGATTTTATAAATTGTTTACCATAAGTTATTTTCACTAACAAATATGAACACATTAAAGACTGATGTCAAAATCTGATCAATAGTATAATAGTTTTATAAAATATCTATCTTGGTTAAATTTCTGTTAGGTTTTTTTTTTTTTTTTTTTGTATGTGATAGACTAGCCTAGTATGTCAGCTTCACCTAATAAATGGACTAAATCCATATTGAGGTTTTAAATAGCAAATGATTGGCTGTGCTCTAAACTTACAAGTTTAGAAGAGAAGATTATCTCTTTGATTAAGGATGCTTGTCAACAGTAGGTGATGCCCGCCTGTCTCACAGAAGGTACTAAATTTTTTTATTTTTTTTTTAGAAAATGTCATCTGTCAATTAAAGAAAAAAAAAGCATTTTTTGTGGGGATTGATGTAATTTATTTCTAATGCACATCTTAGTTGGTACTTTTTTCTCATAGATTGTTAATATATTCAACACACAGTTTTAATTATTAATAATAATGCTTCAAGATTTCATACCTGATATTTCAAGATACCACCATGTGACATGGATACAATTAGAAACTGGCATTTAAAAACAAAATAGTGGCTATCTGACACATCATAAACAAAACAAAAAAGTCTGATACATGTTGTAGCCCATTTGTCTTCACCAGTCTGTCTATTTAGTTTGTGTTTAGCTTGGGATAGGTTTCTACATTTGGGTCATGTCTTGTCAAATACTTTGAAACTGATCTTTTTGTTTATTTGATCTATGTCCATGAACATTGAACAGATTGAGATTTTGACACTGTTGAAAAGTAAATTTTATAAAGGCTATTTTCTTTAACATTCTTTCATATTCTGTTGTTTCTTGTTCAAAACTTAATATAAACTGCACTTCCTAACAACACACAAATTTAAAGAGTGATTTTTTTTTTTAATTGTTCACACTCAAAATATGCATTTTTTTTTTTTTCAAGTAATATTTTATGCTGCAAGAAAATGAATCTGGTGTACTTCAAGCTCAAAACTTGTGTCTGTATCAACTCTTGTATATAGTTGACTCTTTTCTCTGTCTTAATTACAATGTACCATACAATACTTGTGTATATGTTATAATAGTTTAATGGAAACATTGAAAATACACATTCAACTGGTGTGCTGGCTACTGGTGGGGAGCGAGTATTATTGTATCCTTTGATTTATTTATTTAGCTATAGACTTTACCTTTCTTTTCATTGATTTCTATTTGGTTTAGCCATTTAGTTTATTTGATATTTTTAATTTACATTTGGCACATCTATTAGGCCATGCTTAGCATTTATTAGGCATTTTAACTCAAGATTTGTTGTCTTTTATTAAGTCTGAACTTCAAGTGATTGTTTTCAATGAAAGGTATGATTGATCAGAGATAATTAACTTCAATTCTTTCAACTAGAGAGTAGATTTGTGTTGCCTTTCATAATAGTATTTATTTCATGTATTTTGTAATCATTCATTAATCAAACTTCTCTTTATGTATTACTAGATCTATACTCATCCAATCAAACCATTTATGTCCAGTCTCCATATCATGTTCTGGCTTGCTAAATGTGTTGGTCTGAGTAAACTTTCAAATGTATGTCAATAGCATTTCATCCCAGAGTGCAGTTGTACTGTGACTTTTTGCTGGTGGTCAGGAACCACCCTCACACAAGATGTTCCTGGCACACATGCAGGCCTCCATGTTGGACACACCTGCAAGCCTACTTGTTGGGCACACCTGCCGGCCTGCTGTCTGAAGGAGTGCATGATGACGCTTTGTGGTTTTGAATGATTGTTGAAGGCTGTTCCATTTTGGATGATTTTGTTCTATACTGTTTGAAGAATGATTGTTTCATGCCTTGCAGTTTGAATGCCGTGTGATGCTCGCCCTTATCAAAACCTTACACTAGCCTTATATTTTCAATAAAGCTTTGCTAAAATTCTCAGGACTTTGTGTTTTATTGACATCGTGACTTGCTTTTATTTACTTTTTTTTTTTACTTGAGTGTTTTTGTTAGGTAACTAGTGCTTTACCGAAATTGTTTTGGTATCCAGCTCAAATCTACAGGAGAATTCAAATGTGAAGCTAAGCGCTGAAACAATTGATGTCTACAGGTCACACGATGACAGCAGTTGGTACATTAGTCTTAATAGCGAAATAGTATACTGTCCTGACCAGAACTCGAACTTTAGACTCCTCCGACATGACAACTCCACCAAGCAGCAGCAACTGGTTCGTTTCAACAAAAATAAATCCAATGCAAAATATTTATCATAGTAATTTCCTTTTTACAAATCGTATTTCAACTCTGTCTGTTAAAATTTTGTACACTATTTCTCCGACACCCAATCTCGGATCAAGCTGAAATTTTGCACAATTATTTCTTTTACCTGACAACACAACAATTAATAATAATAAAAAAAATTAGTTAATTAACTTACACTTAGATCCTCCCACGCCGTTCGGCGCATTGGGCGGCAAGCTGTGTCCACAAAGATCTGTCGCTGGCAATATCTGAAGCCTCTTCCCACCTGGTTTCCACTGCTCTGAGGTCCCGCATGAAAGTGTGGCGCCAAGTTATATGAGGACGTCCCTGTTTGCGCTCTCCTCGTATTGACCTCCATGCCATTGCAACTCTTGGTACCGTATGCGTAATTCATTTTACCAGAGAATATAACCCGTTAATTAACTATTGGTTATAAATTATAATATTTTTTTATTATATTATATCGAATAAGGAAAAGAAATTGTACTTGATAGAAGTGGTAGTATTAGCTGAATTATTCACCTTTATAGGTCGCCTCTTTAAAGTAAGGTAGAAACGAATAATATATAACTATACACTCTTTTTTTTTTTCATGAGCACATCAATAGCAGAGTGGTTAGTATGTCGGCTTGAGCCATGAGTTCGAATTAAGGTTGATCCCCCTATTTTGTTTTATAAATTCTTTTGAAAAGAGATTAAGGTAAAATTCACACAGGTATCCCTTTCTTTCTTCCTCCTCTGTCCCCCGCCCCCATGTATTCCCATCTGGTCCAGTCAAGTGAGAAAGCTACAAGCGTGAAATAGCGTTAGTGTTTGTGATAAACAACGAAATGACTGAATAGACGTGATTCAAAACCTTTCTGTCTGTGATAAACAACAGAATGACTTAATATATATCTTATCTTATCTTATATAATACGGACGTTATTTCAAAAAAGAAGATGATTACGTCCTACGCGTCATGCATTCAGTCATGCATATTAACCAATGATTTAAATTCTGCCAAGTCACTAAATTTCCTAGCTAGCTCAGCTCAAATGTGATTCAAAAACATTTGTTCCATGTGAAGTTGGCCTCGTTCGCCCTAAAACATTCAGCCAGGGCAACTGCGCTCTCGGAAATGTTCATCATATTGTTTTTGGTTGTCTTATGTATTATGTTTCATGCATGTATGTTCAATGCAAATCAATAAATCTTAATTCTGAATTTAAAAAAAAAAAACAAGGTTACAAAGACAGTTTGTGTGAAACACAAACTCAAAATCGGCCCCCGAAATGGTCCACCCAGGCAAGTAAAAAGGCAGGTTTCAATATTTTCAGAAAGAACATCAGAACAAATTCTATCAAAGGCAAATGACAGAGAAGAATAGAGAAAGAAGGTTGACAGATCTTGTGTGGTGCCCCAGCGGTCCAGCAGACCAAAGGATAGGTGAAAGTAAATTTGAAGCATAACTGATGTCTTATAACGAATATCTAATTGATCTAATTGTTTTGTAAAGGGTCAATCTCTTATTCCTCAAGAAAAAACCTTTCCGTAAAAAAAAAATCCTTTAGACTTTATGTAGGCCTAAGTGTTCCGTTGTATATGTGCAGCGCTGCAGTTCAGTCGATAATATCATAATATGAAAAACTACTTATTAATTGTTGTTTTAAATTATGTCTAACTTATATGCATGATAAATAGATTTTTTCTCTTTAAAAAAGAATAAACATTTTTTGTGAAAATGTACTAGTTAGTATAACAGAACTTATTTAATTTAGCAATACAAATAAAAAAAATGTTTTTTGAAAAATAATCTAAAAACCTCTTGCATAAATGTGTTAAAAATATGGTTTATGGCTATCTCCCCTACTAAAGAGCTTCGGGGGCCGCTAAAAACGGTAGTATCATACTCGTTATAATCAAAACATACTATGGACTGTGGGCATTTGGGCCAATGCCCGTAAATCCAGCACCAAATGGTATAAACAGTGGCTTTACTGCATTATACAATTTCATCTACAACATTGTTTTCCCACAGGTTTTTTTTCGAACTTACCACACACCTTTTAAGTTCTCTTCAAACAAGTCAACTTTACGACCTGACAATTTAACATAGATGGAGTGAGTTGATATAATCTTTGTAAAAAGACAAGATTTTCAAGTGAATAAAGCAGCAAATGACTGTGAGGATGGCAAATAGAAGAATTTAAGGAGAACAGGCAAATGATGAGATAATATTTAAAGTTTATCTTCTTAATGCCATCATAGACACAGGTAAATCTAAATTCCATGGGCGTAGCCGGGGTGGGGGGTTGACCAACCTCTTTATCGTTTTTTAGCTGCCCTAGAAAGGGGAAAAGACGCTATTAGTTTTGTGTGGCCTGTCTGCCAGTCTGTCCGTCCATCCCGTTTAGATCTCAGAAACTAGAAGAGAACATAAAAATCGGACATCATGATATTTTAGATCATTCAAAGTTCTGATGCAACGGCTACTATTTTCTTTTCTGAAAGCGAAAAAACTATTTTTTTTTTAAATCAATTATGCAAGCAGTTTTTTTTTCATAAAAATAGTATACACCACTTTTACAACTATTCACTATTAATAGTAACAAACACTGGAGGATTTTTGTTTAGGGAGATTACTATCTACCATATTTTTAACACAGTTAGACAAATGGTTTTAGATTTTTGATTTTAAAAAATTTTCAATTATTACGCAATGGTATCGTAAGTTATGTAAGTTCTGTCATACTAACTACTACATTTACAAAGAAAATTTTAACTATTTTTTTAAGAGAAAAAATCTATTTACTCTGGAAATAAGTTGGACATAACTTAAAACAACAATTAATAAGTAGTTTTTCATATTATCGCGTGAACTGCAGAGCAGTCATAACACCCTAAAACACAAAACTAAAGGGTTTTTTATTTTACGGAAATGTTTTTTTTATTGATGCTTTGAATAAGAGATTGACCCTTTACAAAACAATGAAATCAATTAGATACTCACTATAAAACATCAGTTAGGCCAGGTTCACATCTAACTTCACATTCACCTATCCCTTGGTCTGCTGGACCTTTGAGGCACAACACAGGATCTGTCAATCTTCTTTCTCCATTCTTCTCTGTCATTAGCCTTTCATAGAATTTCATTATGATATTTTCTCTAACAATATTGAAACCTGCCTTTTTTCCTGCCTGGGTGGACCACTTCGGTGGCCGATTTCGAGTTTGTGTTTCAACACAAACTGTCTTGTAACCTTGGTGGGTTTTTTTTGTTGTTGTTTGTTTTGTTTTTTTACAGGGATGCCATAAGAATTAATGATTGAACGTATGAATTACCTACAGGTAAGTCTCCCATGCTTTTCTTACTTCACAAACCTAATCTATATTAAATTATGAAAAATATATTTTATAACTTTAATGCAATACGGGTTTGTAATTAGGACTATTGAAAATTTTAAAAAAATATCAACATCATTTATTGAAGAAATTAGTGTTGTGTTTGTTTTTTTTTATTTCTAAAAAAAAAAAATAATAATAAAATAAAAAATAAAGGTTGTGGGTTGTATGCGAAAATGTTGCTCATAGCTCTACATTTTTTACTCTAACGTTCTGACGTCATATCACAAACAGGAAGCTATCTTTCATATCACAGCAGCTGACGCCTTTGTTGTTTCTGTATTACGGTGCTAAACTATTTTAGAATTAGATTAACTGAATCCTCAGCCTCTATGAAATGACATGAAAATAGAGCTGAAGGAAACTAATTAAATAACAAATGGCAGCCTTCTACCATTCCTCGTGATGCATCTAATTGTAAAGGAATCAATTGGAACGGTTTTGAAGGGGTTGGTAACTAAAACTAGTAAAGTAGAATGGTAGATCTACATACTAGACTAGTTTAACTAGTAAAATTAACTACTAAAAAAGACTCTTAACTTCAAGTTGGAAACCTGTATTATACTATTATGGTGTATAAACTGTATTTTATAATTAATAGTATACTCTCACTGTATTATATTGTATAGACATAGATGATTTAGATCTAGCGGCTTCTAGCCTTTCTAGCTAGAGTCTCTAGTAGGTATGTGACAATTTTTTTTTTTTATAAAAAAAAAATTGTTGATACCAAACTATTAAAAGCACTCTATCTGAGCTTTCCAATGATATATAAATTATTGTTATAGGACTATCCATGAAAAAAAAATTATTTTTTTTTTACGCGTTTTCGCTTAACATTGAAGTCAATGGACAACATGAGGTTGAATTTTCTGAAATTTTAAATTTATTTTAAATGCGTACCAATTCGCTAATTTTTATCATACAGTTAAAAATAATATATTGAATGAAAGCTTCGGATGTGCTTACTAAGAGAATGCTATTGTTTTATACAATTTCTTTACATAATTTCTTTTTTTTTTACTTTACTTAACATGACATTATTACCTTTAATTTTTGTAATAAAAGTTTATTTTATTTGGTTGAAAACAAATTTTTGATAGTTATCAGCAAAGAATTATAGTAAATCAGCAAAGAATTAGTTCTCCTTTTCTCAGTGATATAAAATTATTTTAAGAGGTCCAATAATTAGAAGAAAATATATTTTTTGGACGTGTTTTCACTTTTAAAATTTAAAATTATTTTTTTTAGGAATCTAGATTTTAAGTTTTAAAGATGTAACTCAGCGTTT